AAATCTTTAATTTTTTTCCCCTTATAAATTAGGAATAAAAATATGCTCAATAAACTACTTATTAGCCTTTTTCTATTGGTAACTCAAAAAAGAGTCATCAATTTCGCTCTGGTTGCTTTTGTTCCAACCGAATCCCAACAGATTCCCAATATAAGTAAAAATTTAATTCTTGGATCTTAAAAAAAATATATAACCTCTCTCTAATTTTTATTCTTTTTAAATTATACTAAGTGATATTAGCTATTTTTTTTTTAAATTGAATTTGGGGTAAAAATATAAACAAAGCATTTTTAAAAATTCACGAAATTTTTTTTTGAAAAGCCAGTGTGAGGCAGGGATTTATTTGAGGGGACTGACCCATAAATATAAATATGATAAAATTAAGGCCCAAATAATCAACACATGTTTTTATATTATAATATATTTATATTAAATTAAGATTATGATACTCGGGAAATTTATAGGACCAGACAGCCGAACCTTTCATCCCACATTATGTGTCTAATCTTGAAATGTAATTATAATAAATCCTTTAAAAAAAATATGTTTATTTGATTTATAAATTTAAGGTTTGGCTGTATGGGTAGCTTTATTATAATAAATACTTAATGTGTTTTGTCTATTAATAAATGCATTTTTTAAAAAGTTAAACTAAACTTGTATCTCGCCTTATTAAGATATTACATTTTTGTATAGCAGAAATCAAATTTCTAAAAAAAAATATAGTGTACAAAATCTTTTAAAAATATTATTTTTATATATGATTTCTCAGGTGATACCAAGCATACAAGGACCAATTACCATCAACAAACTATGCAGAAAATTGATTTTAACTCAGACTCTAATCCAATTGAATTCAAGAACGTTGATTATAGGTTCAAAATGAAAAAGGTCAACACAATTTCACCAATCATTCCTTCCACTTATATCACCATATCCAACACATTAGCATTGGGCACCCTGGTGGATTTAAAAGAAAGCCATGGCTTGAAACGATTATTGAAAACATCGTCAAATACTTATATTCAATACCAAGGCCAAAATAATGGCAACAAAAAGACAGCGAGAATATTATTCGATTGTTCACCAATCGAACATAATTTTAAAAAGATTTTAAAGTGTCCTCGCAAGTCAATTGATAACTATGGCTACTCTAATGACTACGATGATTCACATAGAAACAGTTATGTCTCTTCTAATGAATTTGACCAAAATGTGCCATTTTGGAAGAGAGGGGATATCGTTTTATATCTCGGTAGTCAAGCTGACAAAACTAATTATAGAATGCCCACGAATTATCCAAGAACTCTTAATAAAGTGTTAAACATCATGATGTTGGTAGATGTACGGCCTCATTTAACCAGAAGATTTAATTGCCTGATGGAAGCGCTTAGAGTAAATAGATTTATATGCGGTACCTAAATGAAAACTTAAACGGGGGAGTGAAGGGGGTGGGGTGTATCCATAGTTTTTCAGTGGGTAAGAAGAGAAGTATAGTTGGGTAATTTCCAAATGTCTACTAATTCGGCTCAATCTTCAGAGGCTTGCCAGAGAAAATTCTTTAACATTAAGGCGTTTTAATTTTTATTAGTTTCTTCTAAATTTGAGCTGCTATCTTTTTAACAAAAACCCCAAGGCCAAAATGAGAGTTTTCGGCTAATAACTTGGTTAAGCCGGCTAAAAATTTGCTTAAACGGCTAAAAATATAGTAATCAACTATAGTAAGAAGTAAGAAAACGGGAAGGGAAAAGGAGATAGGCTTGTTTTCTCCAAATTATTTTATCTCGTGAAGTTGCCTTTATCACAGAATGATTGATAGTTTATTTAAACAAAACATTTATAGGTGGCAATTACGTTTTTAAATTGTATATATGTATATAACAAAAATCAAGAACGTGATTTATTCAAATTTTAATGCTATAAACATTCTTTATAAATAAGGAATCGATAGAAGTAATTGATTGTTCCTTCGAAATCGGCACCAGATCGAAAGTTAGCATTTTGCCATTCGGTGGTAACACTTATGAGTGGATCGTCCCGATTAAATCAGGCATTTCTATAGACTTTATAAACACTCGTATCGAACAATATAACCATAACCAGAGCATGCGTACTATACATTACAAGAAACAATATCACGAGGATAACTTATGTAGTACAACTTAATAAAATTAAAATTTTCTGCAAAATAAAATATTTAAAATTTGGTCAACATTAGAATACTCGATATGGTGAAAAAAATATTATTGCCTTTCATTTTTTTAATTTTCAAAAACCCTTTTTAGTCTCGATTTCAAAAAAGGAAATACTCGTTTATGTTTTTTTAGGAAAATTGACTAATCATAGGTTCATTAAATTATAAGGGTGATAAAATAATCCTAAATTGATTGCTTTAGTATAAGTTCCATATAAAGCCTTGATGAAGCGTGATGCGTAAATTTTGTCCGATTTTTATGACATAAATAATTGCACAAGGGGGACTTTATAGAGGAACATAACATAAAAATTTTACTTTTTGGATCGCAATCTACAATAAAAAAATAAAATTGATTCAGACAGAACTGCGAACTCGATCTGTAAGTCAGGGTTTATTGGGCTAATTTTGCAGGCAACCAAAATAAATCCAAAAATAAAAAGCTAATAAAAAACAACCATTTGATTTATTCCCTTAATTGTTTTTCTTTCTAACACAGGCGGAGGATCTAAATTGCAAATAGCATTGATGGACATTATGTCGCGATTTCAATTTGATATACAGAATTCCAATTCTTTCGCATTCAGTAAAAATTACGGGCTAAATACCAATCTGATCCCCAAAACGCAGGAAAAGAATATTTTGGTCTTATTCACAGATGGAAAGTTTCAGGATTCGGAGCTTGAAGATATCACTCACATTATAGAGAGCCTGAAACAAAGTTAGAATGCTTTGTTTTAAACATATTGAAAGATCTTATACTCACAAATAACCTTTTTTTTTAATCAAATCATTTCCCACTTCGTATTCCTATAAAATTTGTTTAAAAAAAATTCACCAAATTAGCACAAGAGATTTTGATCGAAGTTTATATAACATACAATATTATAAATAGGATATTATATAAAGTATTATAATTCTTTTGACGATCTCATATTTTATTTGTTAATTTATTTATGAAAGATTTTAATATTCTAATCTCATAAATAAAATATATACAGGGTTTTCCATACAAAAAATTTTAAAAAAAGTCCGTTCATAAAAGAAAAAAAATCCCAATTTTTTTAAAAAAAGTCCAATCAGACAAGGAAAATGGTCAATCAAATAAGAAAAAAGTCTGATCTGTCAATCAAAAGAGGAAAAATACTATTCAAAAGATGAATTTTTGGTTGTTTTTAATTTTTTTCCTATCTCTTAATTTTATGCCCCTTTTAATATCTTTTTTTTGATTTTCTCTTTCACTCCTCGTTTTAAATCATTCCTTATTCATTCTTTATTTCATTGGGATTGCCAGGAAAATTCCACATGCCAGGGTTTGTAGCCCCCAGATTTTAAAAAAATTGATATGTTCCAGCCCGAATTTCTAGATTATGTATTTTAATTCTATCAACGTTTAATATTATGGTTAAAAGATTTAATTTATAATATAGCGTGGATCAAAATTTAAAAAGGGAAAATGATTTAAAAAGTGACAAAAAAAATATATAACTGAAATTAAAACTTCCCAATTGAAATTAACGTTAAAAAAATTAAGAAAATTACAAAAATAGGTTTAGGACATAAAACTAAAAACTCCGTAAAAAGTTAGTAAAAAAATTAAGAAAAAAATTAAAAATAACTTAAATTAAAGAAATGACAAATTTTAAGAATATTTTTTTGATTGTAACTTTTCACTTCCCAATATGGGACTTTTTCCCTTTTGATCAGGCTTTTTTCCCCTTAAATCGGACCTTTTTCTTTTTTTGATCGGACTTTTTCCTTTTAATGAATGGGAAAACCTGTAAATTAATGAAATTTCAAGAAAAAAATATTATTAGGACGTCAAGCACCATATTCTAAAACAAGATACTTCATGAAACGTATAATTATATATTCAACGATTTTTTTAAAAAAAATTAACTAAATTTTAGACTTCAATATGCACGTTGAGTCGGTGGTAATATCAGATAAATACGATTATTCCAATCTAGAGAGGCTCGTATCAGAACCCAAAAAGGACAATTTGTATTTTTATGACAAATGTAATTCTGACCAGTGTCGCGACATTTACAACAAATAATTTGTTTTACATTTTTTTTTTGTTTATTTTAGTTTTTATGTAAAAGTATATAAATTAATTTTAACTGATTTCCAGTCAATTTTTTTAATAAATAAAATAATTTATTGTCTACTTTTATTAGAGGTGATTCTTATTTATAGAGTATAGTTGGGTAAATATTTTAAAAACCTACAAACACAAGTTTTTACTGTAAAGTATAACCTCAGTCTGGAATTTTTTTTTTAGAAAAGATAGATAAAATTTGAAGAAAGAGGGGAAAAAATTAACTAGTCCTATCTTAATGCTTAGCGCATTTCCTTCGACATGCGCATTCTGTAGATTGAGCCGAATTGTTCGCCGATTACCAAACTATATTTTTGAATAAAGTGATAGGATAATGAATAATATAAATAAATGATTTGCCCTAACTATCATCGTAAATTTGTCCACTTTTCTGATTGATTCATTTAATAATTGTAAATTAGGATTATATCTTAAATATTGTTAATATTGCTTGATATTATCTGATATATTAAATAAATGCATAACTCTATAATAATTGCCTGCATAAAATAAGTATCTGGACGAAAATACGATCAAAGTAGGCTCTCCCAAAAAAATGAATTGTTTTATAACAAAAAAAAAGATACGCCTTAAAAGATTTGAAAAAAACTTATATTAATTGTGTTTATTAAAATATAAAAATTATATATAACATAATTTACAAGTTTGTTAATTATAATAAACGAATTAAATGTATACATAAATATATATATATAATAGGCATTCATTAAATAAATTGGTCCAAATTTTGGTATAATCTTTTTCAAGCCATCTTTTGATTTCTAAGAAAAGGAATGGAATTTTAAAATAAATATTGTGGCCGAAAGGTTTAGTTATGATGACTAGTGAGTTTATATTTTAAAACATGCCAATTGATGAACGAGGGCGTTGGGTTGGCATAAAAACTAATTCTATAACAATTATAAACCCAGAATTAAATTGTTATCTGTAAAATTTGTAGTTATGTTATTATTAGCCTTACGATTTTCTGGGTGATTACGTGAATACATATAAATTCCTATAACTATGGCGAATAGTAGAATGAAAAAAGAAGATATAAAAAACGGGTTCAAGGGCAATGGTATAATTTTATCTTTGGCAGTTCTTCGACGTTTTTGATTTTGGGTAAAATTGGCGTTTCTTTCCTCGCGGGCTAATTTTTCTTTAGTCTCCCTTTGAGAACTTATATATTTTTTTATGAAAAATAATTTGTTAATTTGACAATTGATAGATATAATTTAATGAGTTCATGGATGTGTTTATTTAATAAAGAAAAATTGATCTCATAGATTTTAAAAATCGATCAGTTGTTAAATCATGATCACACTATGAATACAACTTAAATGACTTAGCAATTAAAATTATATATGTATAATAGGCTGTGCCTATATTAAAAATGCATTCAAAAATATCAGATCGGGCCGATATTTTTTAAAAACCCATCCGATATATTATATGTTATATATCTGCAACAAGAAAATGATTTTAAAATATCGAGCGAGTCACATTCACCTGGTGTTGTATGATGGCTCGATTTAGCCAATTTTCAAAACCGGTTAACTCAAGATTTTGGCCAATAGTAATTTATTCAAGCTTAATGATTTTGCCCACAGATGGCAGAAAGGTTTAAACTTATATTGGCAAAAATTTAGAGGCATAGGCAATAATATTTTGGCTAAAATAATAGACCTGTTTAACATCACTACATCACCCATAAATATTGCAAATATTTATGAGATTATTAACTTTTGGAGAAAAAAAAATAAAATAAACTTAATAATTCGAAAGTTAGTTGATTTTTTTTAAAAATAAAAAAAATTGATATCTTTATGACATTAGTTCAAAGATAGTTGGTAAATAAAAATCAATATATATATCGGATCGGGTTTTTAGTATCGGAAAAATCGAATCAGTAAAGAATCTGTGGATGAAAGAATAATGACCAAATTTCCTTTCCATTAATGCCTTATGTGGACTACTATGCTTAGTCAATAATATTTTTAGACCCGTTGAGAAAGTCAATGTGGAACGAGTTATATCGAATAGAATATACATACGAAAGGGAAGAAAAGAGTTTCTGTGTGGTAAGGTTGGCAATTAGTTTAGTAAATACAATTTTAGGTTTTAGGAATAATTTTATAATTTTTGAAAGGGAATGTTTTATGAAAAGAAAACTATTAATGATTAAATATAAGTTGTTTTGAAATATTAAAATATATTTTGTAAATTAAATTTAAGGTAATATGAGTATATAAATTTCCAAACCATCTATCCGCGTAGGCCTTCCTAGCGCTTTCCATCTTAACAGACGGGAAAAGAACCATGCTTTGGCAGGCTCTACTTAACACTCCTTCGAGTCCTTCCTCCCCATCCATCCCAATCTGAGAAAGACAGGACATCAACTGACTATGTATCACAGCCGGGTCGGAGATCTCTTCTTGGTTCTCCGTGAGATCCTTCGGTGGTATATTCATGTCATTGTCCAATAGGTCGTCAATCGTGTCTCTAATTGACTCAGCATTGACCTTACAAAAATTTAGATTCGTATTTAATAAACATATTATCTTTTCAGCTGTAGCAATTAAAATTATATATAAATATATCTTTATAATAATTCGATAAAATAAAGTTTAGACCAAAAAAATTTCAGGAAATCACGTGATCGCTATCTAGTTTTGAAGCCGACTTACAGCAAAAAGAGACGTTAGTAAAAAAAATGATCGAGATTAGCTTAAGCTTGAATATTTTTGGGCAACATTTGAAATACAATGAAACGAGTGTCATTAACAAATATAAGGGTAAACAAAGTAAGATTTTATCTTAATTTGATACATATTGAAATTAAATATGGACAAGCAATTAATTAAGATTAAACGTCATGTTTAAATAATAAAAATAAATTATATTGTAAATATATTAATTTATGATGAAAAATGAAAATTATTTTTTGATCTTCTTTGAGAATGCTCAAGTAAGATTTTTGATTAAATTTCATCTAAAATTATAAATCCTTTTTTTAAAAAAGCCTTTTTAATATTTAAAATTTTTTTATAATTTCTTAAATGTAATCTATTTTATATCCATTTATTTCGATAAAAATATGATAATACTATAAACTTTTATAACTTCTTGTTCCTCGAACTCAATGATGGTACCTTTTTAGAACATAAAAGAGTTAAAATTTAAATTATTAACACAAATCAATTATGAGGATTACCTAACTAATCAGTTGTCCGCATAACCCAACTCCAAATAGCTTTGCATGCGATTGAAAAAGTTAGTAAAATCATAAGGAATAAATTCATGTAAGAGTTGAATTATATTCCCAACAATTTCATCCCATGAATTAGGGCGAGGATTGATTGCTCGGTATTTATTTTTCAAGACACCAAAAAAATTCTTGATTGGATTTAGCTGAGGTTAATATTGTGGTAGGCATTAAATCCTACTTTTATAAGCATCAATAAGATGGCTTCTATGGATAGATGCATTATTCATTGCATCCGGTGGTAAGATACTAATAAGCTCTGTCATAAAATGACGGAATAAAACCCCATTCTTTCAATTATTTTATAATGGATTACCACTCCAATGCCAATTGTACAAAGTATGCTTACATTTTTACCCTTGGAGAATGGGATTTTTATTATTGGACGGACATTGTATGGCGCCCAGTTGTAGATTGGTACTACAATATGCAAGTTTATTCCAGTTTCATCTAAGAAATATAAGTTTTCTCTTAGGATATTTAACTTTACACAATAGATTTGACGAATATTAATTGCCCCGGTAGTATTTTTTTTATCAGGCTCCTTGCCAGCTCTTTTTTTCAAACCAAGGTATATTTTTAATATATTTACTAATAATTATTTTCGTTTTTGGACTACCAGGGGACAAATTTTCTCTGGATAGTAAGAGTGTTATTTTCCATTCATAAGCTAATGATGTATCTTTCTTACTACCTCTTTTTTGAATAGTGTATTCTTTTGGAGGATCTCCATTTATTTTAGGAATATGTCGCGTCTAAATTTATGAACCGATGCCGTAGATATTTTAACGTATTTTGCAATATCTTTGATTTTAATTTGTTGTTTTAAAGGCATTGATAACATTTTAGTAATTATATCCATTTTTTCACTGCTTCATAATTTGTGTATTCTTTTTGGTCTTTGAATTCTCGACAAAGATTGGGAGTTTTCATTTTCATTTAAATTGGAAAAATTAGTATTACTATTGGAAAATAAAAATTCTATATTAAACATTTTTTATTTATTAATTTAGAAAAATTTTAAAAAATTTATAAATATTTAAACACATTTTTTTTATTTTAAATTAAATTTTCAACATAATTTCTTTTTATATTTTAATGTGACGTTTAATCTTAATTAATTTCTTGTCCATATTTAATTTTAATAGTTATTAAATTAAAATCTTAATTTGTTTACCCCCTTTTATTGTATATTTAATAATAACACTCGACTCGTTCCATTATAATCACTAATATAAGAATAAGAAGATTTAACTAAGTTGCAAGAACACTAAAATCAGGATATTGCGCTGTTTATGCATAACGGTTCATTTACATTTCCGGTTTTAGTCTAAAATTTTAAATCGGGTTCGTTCTGGGTTAGGAATTTACATCAGCTAGTTGTTCGTTTTTATAAGTATGTATTGGTTTTTAAAATAAATTAATTACAATATATATTTCTTAATTTGATCAATAACAATATTAAATTTAAAAAATTTTAAGAACTTTTAAAAACCAAAAAAAATTAGTAAATATTTAAAGTTGATTTTTTTGGTTTTATTTTCAAAACGAATTGGAAAATAACAAATTAGGTATGATAATCCTGTTAAGGAATAAAAAATTTCTCAGGAAACTATAATTGAGGGAAATTTCCCGAGAAATTTTGGGGAAAAACGGGAAATATTCTTCAAAAAATTATTTTACATGTCAATATTGATTTTTTTTTCATGTTACTATTAATATATTATTTAAACAAATATGATACAATTTCAATTATTCAATTTGTTATCTTCATTTGAAACGATTCCAGATCTCTAAAATCGAGCAATTTGTCATTTATCTCGCAACATCGAAATCTATGCATCCAGAAAATCGGTTTATAACATCATACTCTTAACAACAATTTCATTGTCTTTAAAATTAACTCCGCAATGGTTAAGTATATGAGCAAGGTAATGTATGTCCCGACAACATAAAATTTTCCTATTCTTTTTATAAATTGTTCAATCTCTATAATTTTCTTCCATAAGAGACTTCCCTAATATGGATAAATTCATGATTAACGTCAGATAAGTTTGATTAGTCGGCTTCGTCTTCCTCTATTTGTGTAAGAATACTTTATAAATTTGCATAGATGTGCAAAATCATTTTAAAAACTTCATTATCAAGAAGATTAAGTCTCTTATCTCTAAAAAAATATGGAGTATTGCAGCAAAATATCTTTATTTTTTAACAACTATTAATTATCATAACTATACAGTAAAAGAGTTTGGTGGGCTAAGAAAATTAAAGGAAATAATCATATTTTTACCTTTAAATAGATGTTTTTCTTTAAGTGTGTAAAAGTAATTTTACATATTTAATATTAATTTGGGCTTTTGCTACCAAAATTTAAATTGGCAATATTTTATTTGCTAGATCCTTTAAAAGCAAATTAGGCCCATGAGATGCAGCAAAATTAGATATTTAATTCTCACAAGTGTTCATGCTTTCTTCATTAATTGCATTATGGAGGAGATTGCCTCGTCAATAAAGAGTATGGATTACGGAAAGGCTGCATGTATGGATGGCATTCCCATCGAACTATATGCGGCAGGTGGAGTCCATATGTACAGCGTAGTACAGAGAAACTTCAAACGCATATGGAATAGCGGATCCCGAGAAAGAATCCACTGGAAGATAGCAAACGTCTGTGCTATCTACAAGTGTAAAGGGTCCATAACTGAGCCTAGCTCATATCGCCCGATATCATTGTTAAATGTCGACGGAAAAATATTTACCGGAGCTATTGCCGAGAGGCTAAGACATGTCGTAGAGCAGCAAGTAGCCAGCAGACAATGCGGATTTCGGCCAAAAAGAAGCACTTCGGACTTGATCCACATTATTAGAAGGATTCAGGAGGAGTGTCGAATTGCGGACCGGAATGTCATCTCCCCACTGTTTGTCGATATAGAGAAAGCGTTTGATAGCGTCCCTTATAAAGCTCTTCTCGATGTTCTGAAGATTTATGGTTGCCCTCTTCACTTGGTAGCCATAATGAAAGAACTTCATGAGGGAAACACGGCCCGGGTCTCTCGCTTCTGCGAGACCTCGGAACCCTTCAACGTCCTCAGGGGAGTCCGACAGGGGTGCAGAATAGCGCCGTACCTATTTTTGATATTCATGGACGCTTGTCTAAAGGCCTTGGATCAAAATCTTCGGTGTATAGGTAGTGGGTTGCTGTTAATGCCTCGAGTGGGAACAGTTAGCCAGTTAACGCCGGCTAGTCGATATAAGACATCTGGAATATGCTGATGATGTCGTCTTTTTTGGCAACGACGTCGCGGTTAACACTCAGCTGTGTGTTCGCCGAGATCCTTGCTAGATTCGGGATCACTATCTCAGTGGCAAAGACCCAACTGTTTAATCTGGCAGGGCGGAAGTTGTCGGGAGACTACTCCCAGTCACTCAAGGAAAGCTTTGCCTACCTCGGTTCCCAAATCGAAGCAATGGGCGGAACCGGAATTGAAGTCTCCAAGGACACACCAAAAGGATCTTCGGTAGACTTAAACCTCTATTTATAGACTCTTCTTTAAGTGTCCTTTCGAAAAAGAAGCTTTTTTCATCTACGGTTCTTCCTTCGCTCTTTTACGAAGCAGAAAGCTGGAGCACAGTTAAGAGAGACGAAGAGCGAGAAGCTTTTGTTAACACGTGTTTAATGGCGATGTTAAATGTCCCCAAGGAGGCCCATACGAAAGTCGAGGTACTACGTACTCAGTAAAAAATACCTTTCGCCAGAGACTATATAGCTAAACGACTGATTTGGTTTGGACGACAGGTGAGAGGGGAAACATCCTCTCTCTGTAAAATGTCAACCTCCAGTTCGGTCGGGTTAGTCAAAATTAGTTCTCGAGCGCGGTGTAGATGAGAAAACTGTCTAGATAAAGATCTAAAATGGCTTATCGTTAACGGTAGCCAAGCGATCGAGGGGTATGTTCTACTATCGACAGGCCAAGTGCAATTCGTTGGCTGATTTCGTAGAAATAGCTTTGCTGACGGAAGACATGGGTATGAAACACTTCGAAAAGGACACCCACACCCCGGTGCGGATTACAGGACCCATCACCTACGTTTCTTGCTCGCACCCGGGATGTGCAGTTACCTTTGCTAACGCGAAGAATATGAAGAAGCATTTAAGGTTAACGCATATGCCCAATTCTATCGACAGTCAAGGATTCGACTGTACTCATGAAGGGTACTGTAAGACCTATAAGACCAGGGCCTGGCTTGAACGGCACA